CATTCAGCTCAGTTTCCAAAAAAGTAACATGTTTCTGACCACTGGGTTTTAAGCAGCTTCCAGAACAGATCCAAACCTGAAAACACAAAGTACAAGAAATACTGAAAGCACGCAGCACACAATTAAAGCAGCAGAGATAGTACTTTCTCCCATTCAGGAGATGAGAAGACGCAGAATAAATTAGGATCACACAAAGTTTAGTAGTAGCCCAGAGGGATAGAATCTAAATGTAGTCTCCCTGATGAGATACATCATTCACAGCTGAAAAAAACCTGGCAGAAAGAAGACAGTTGGAAAAAAATGTTGAGAAAGGCTGGAAGACTTTAATAATGGTGAAAAGGTCAATTTAAGTTTAACTAGTTAACTTACTGTTCCTGCAGTGGGGTAGAGTGCAGAGCATTTAAGTCTTATCATTACTAACTTTTTTAAATGCTACATTTTACTTTGTGATCTAAATAATAGGGACTAAAACAAAAGGATGGGTGAGCTGTGTAGAACGAAAAAAATCCAAAACATAAGTCCACCAATAAGCCAAACCAAAACCAAATAACAGTTAAAAAGCTGTAGCTTTTGCTAGGTCCAAGTTAAAGTTAATATGTCTTGTCCCACCACTTATATTTATGAAAAGTGTTCATATGAACAAAGTCAAAATGAAGTCAAAATGGCAAGTTATCAGCCTACATGACCTCACTGTAAGGATTGCTAGTAGATTTTCATGGAAACTTCCTTGTATACTTGTGATAGTCCTACTTTTTTCACCGCTTCCAAAGTTATTATTTTAAATGTGCATTTCATGGTTAAAGACAATTTATTTGGAACTGTCCTATAAGTGACAGTTCTTATACGTTGGCCTAATTATTGACCTGATTCTGAAAATGTAAAAGTTTAATGTCAGAACACCCAGTAACAGACTGGATTTAAAACAGAAGGGAAGGGTAACTGCAGGATGAGTTACTCCTTCAGGAACACTGGCCACTGGCGGATCGAGTGACAGCTTTGACATCACAGCCATTCTTTTGCTAATTGCTGCCAACCATGTCTTTACTAGCAGAGCTATGGGAGCCGTACTTTTCCGGCGAGGTTGGCTCCCTCACGTGGGTAATGAACATTCACAGCACTACTATCGCCAACGTTGCACTGAGGTTTTCTTAATTTTTATTTAAGGTCGGTGTAGTTTGTTAGAGCACTAAAGGTCTGTTAAAAGACCACTCTGCATGATACAGACGCGAGTGCCAATCTAGAAAGTCCGACCGAAATAAGAAACAACTACAGAAGAAGACAAGAGGCCAAACTACTTAAGGCAGCTTAAAACAAAATCAGTCCGAGGTTTTAAACACAGCCGTCCTGCATGAATTTGTAAGTCACAAAATCGAGGTAACATGGGCCAGACCTTCCGCTAGCCGAGCGTTCCACCTATGTCTGCGGCTCCGCCGCACCGTGCCCCACACTGAGAGCTGTGAGAGCCCCCGCAACCCCTACGCGGCCGTG